GGCTAACCTAGAAGAGGTAATTTTTTGTTCATAACCATGTATTTAACGCGTATCAAAAGAAAAACTGAAGAAAAATTTAAGGGGAATTGCCAGCAATAGGTTTTTATGGTAGTCAAATAGTAATTTTAGGTAATTTTTCATTTGGATTCAAATCGATGCGGTAACTACTTAATTAGCTAAAAAGTGCTTAGTGTTGTGCAATATGCTCTACATAATGTAAATAGACATATAAAACATGAATTTTAGTAATAGCGTCGTCGTGCAATCAAGGTCACATGAAGTGCATTCCAGGCTACATAGCTACACTAGTAAAGAGTGGGCTAACCTTGAATACGTCATTTTTTGTTCATAACCATGTGTTTAACATGTATCAAAAGAAAAACGAGAGAAAAACTTAAGGGGAGATGCCAGCAATAGGTTTTTATGGTAGTCAGTTAATAATTTTATTATTTGGAAAACATTGAGGGTGGTTACTACTTTAAATAACCTCAAACGTCTTTAATATTGTCCTTTATTCTCTAAATAATGAAATAGTAGTTTAATTTCATTCAGCGTATTGTACAGTTTTATACATACATATTAGTCAACCTTCATAATCAACGCTGTGCGTGTACCGCCAAACACCATCTTTGCCGTGTTTCGCCAAAAAAAGTTCCCGCCACTTGATATTTTGGAGGTTATGTCAGCTGCTTTGTGACGAATCCTGCTGTGACGCCATCATTGTTGTGACGTTTTACTGTGACGTATATTCGTCGGAGGGGCGGTAGGAGAAGTGGAATGGGTTATTGCTGTTCTATTGCCAGTTTCACGCTGATTGAACAATTAGGCTACCAGCTGATCCAACTATTGACAGACAATTAGGACAATCACTCAATCAGTTGCCTGCCTGTGTATTTTATGGTATGCCTTTTTCTAAGACTAGGGACAGGGCGTAAGCAATACTTACTTCCATAGTTTGCCATCGTAAGAACAAATGTAGCATTGATTATAAATAGGACTAATTTTGACGATAATTATTACTTAATTAATCAGTAGATATGTGTCCAGTAAACATTTAGAACTAGGTGTAATAGGCCAAATAAAACAGAAATCAAGGATATATTTTAAACACTTCATTAGCGAGATTTTTACCAATTTAAAACATGTTATATCTTAAACCCATTGTAAATCATTATCATTATGAAATTTAGATAATTTTCATCTAAATTTATCTTTTTTGCTTTATGAGTCAAAAGAGTGTTGGTGAGTTAAGAAAGAAATCCCCACGAAAAACGTTTTTGTTTTTAACTTCTCAAAATGGCAACACTTTCCATTTCATTTCATTTAATTTATTTCAACGGCAAAATTGCCAATTTTTACATGGACAATTCAAATAACATGATGCTGTGCATCAAGTTTAACAAGCAAAGGCAAAGAACAATAATTTAACAATCAACAAAGGAAACAATAACAGATGATCAGTCAAGGAGAAATATCAATTACAACAATATAACAATAACAATGCAAAAAATGTAACAAGAACAAAAATAGAACAATAAATACAATAAATTAATTTACAATGCGATAACAAACACTATAGTGGAAGAATATTGGGAAAATCGACCTAACAAATTCGGACTAAGTGGAAACTTTGCACAGTTGTTTAGTAAGCCTAAATAAATAAAATTTCAAAAGTCCCCATAAATCCCTGCTGTGCTTCAGCCGCCATCTTGGAAAATAGCGGCCAATTTTCACTTTTTTTGACAATGTTTCACAAACTATTTGTATTAGAGAATTTTTGTAAATACAAAAGTTAAAGAACGTCTAAAAATACATCTTTTTTATATTACAAGGTTTGCTCTATCTCTAATGGTTATTGAGATAAATAATAAAAGTTAATATTAAATAAAAAATTCCCATGTTATTCTTATGGAGGAAAATAAAATTGTTGCAGTTTGGTTATTTATGGTTATATTTTTATCAAACTTGGCAAATTTCTTTATTTTGTACTAAGCTTTTAATATTAAACATAAATATACACTTTAGTACCCTCCCTATAGCGGTAAACCTAGTACTCGTTAAATTTCAAGTTATTTAAATAGGGAATCCATCTTACATTTTTATGATATATTTTTAGTAAAAATCCAGTCAGGCAACCTACTATTTAATATGTAGTAGTAAGTACATATTATGATAACAACCTAACGTTATCATAAGCCAAACACATATTTTTTTTTAGACATATTAACAATAGTTTCCCTTATTAATATTAGTAAGTTTAAAGCTCACTAAACTATATTTTCACTACTATGTAACTACTTACATGGTAGGCCTGACTTATTACTCCCGGTATAATTATTTAGTCGGTAAATATTAGGAAATTCGACCTTAAAATCCGGACTTAATGCGGCTGAGGCACAGCCGGTATTTTTGGGAACTTTTGCCATTTTCATCAACTAGTCTCAATTTAGTCCGGATTTTAAGGTTCAATTTCCTAATATTTACCGACAAACAATTATACCTACCGGGAGTAATTAATAACGTAGGTACCACTTAAGTTTTTAGTAGTTACTTGGTAGTGACAAAATAGTAAGTGGACTTTAAATCATAATACTAATAAGAAAAAATGATTGTTAATATGATTGAAAAATGAATATCCATTTGCTTGACTGGATTTTTACTAAAAATATATCCTAAAAATGTAAGATAGATTCCCTATTTAAATAACTTGAAATTTAACGAGTACTAGGTTTACTGCTATAGGGAGGGTACTAAAGTGTATATTTATGTTAAATATTAATAGCATAGTATAAAATAAATAAATTTGCCAAGTTTGATAAAAATATATCTATAAATAACCAAACTGCAACAATTTTATTTTCCTCCATAAGAATAACATGGGAATTTTTTATTTAATACTAACTTTTATTATTTATCTCAATAACCATTAGAGATAGAGCAAACCTTGTAATATAAAAAAGATGTATTTTTAGACGTTCTTTAACTTTTGTAGGCCTATTTACAAAAATTCTCTAATACCAATAGTTTGTGAAATATTGTCAAAAAAGTGAAAATTGGCCACCATTTTCCAAGATGGCGGCTGAAGCACAGCAGGGATTTATGGGGACTTTTGAAATTTTATTTAATTAGGCTTACTAAACAACTGTGAAAAGTTTCCACTTAGTCCGAATTTGTTAGGTCGAATGGCTTTATTATTCCTAAAATTCTTGGACTACTAGCAAGATCTAAGCAAACAGTAAACAGTGTGTTTTTCCATTCTAGGCAGAAACAATATGTAGTATGGACAGGTATAAACATAGGAGAGAAATTGCAAGTTTTGACTAGAAATATACTTAAGCTACAAGGAAACAGATATGGCACTAGCAAACAATGCCTTATAATTTATGATCAATTATTTAACAAAGAAAACCATTACATCCAGAAGAGAAAACAGAAAAAAATTAGAGAAAGACATAATTGAACATTAACCCGGGGCGATGATACCTATCACACATCACTGAGGGCCACCGATCACTGAACACCACCACTAACTTGCGCCTTGAGCAGATTTCTTTTAAAGATGGATGAGCTGCAGCAGATGTCGAGGTTTCCAGGTATTAGGTTCCCGTGCCTTTGAAGTCTCACAAATGGACTGTTCCTACCGTAATTTGAGGAGGCTGCTGCCCTGGTGAAGAGGTCAGTGGAGCGAGTACCAGTGGGAACCCTGAAGTTGACCTTCTGGAGTAGTTCTGGGCAATCAAGTTCAGAGGTGACCAGACGCTGGAGGAATAGTACGTCGTGGGTGAAGCGTCGGGATTCCAGTGAAGGCAGCTTCAGGAGGGATTGAAGATCATTAATATGAGCCTCAAGGAACCTGTATCCCAGGCGAGTACTCACGAGGCGCACAAATATTCTTTGCACACTCTCCAGCTCGTCCTTCAGATATTGTTGGTGAGGGGACCAGATAATGTCACAATATTCCAGGTGGGGTCTCACTAGGGAATGAAATAGCAGCTTTGGCGAGTTGATGCTATTGAAGGGTGGTGAGATTCGGTGAATTAGTCCGAGGTTGCGCAAGGCTTTGTTGCAGACAGAGTGGACATGACGATCCCAGCTGAGGTTTGGGGTGAACAACACGCCGAGGTCCACAATCTCCGAGCATCTAACAAGCTCTTTGCCATCAATTGTATAGTTCCTTCGGACGGGGTTTGGTATACGATGAAAGGTGATATAATTGCATTTGTTGACATCTTAAGTACTTGTTTGGTATTTCACATTTCTCAACAAACATCAAGTTCAATCAAGTCGATTAAATAAACATCTGATAAACTAAGAATTTAAATTGTACTAGCCATGCAAAATAAGGCCAAGCTGTCAGGGTTTGCCTCATTTTGCGCCTAAAAAGTGTGATATCAAAGCTGTTTATTATTCGATCTTTTTGTCTTGGCGTTGTTTGATGAGCAATTTGAAATGCCAAACAAAAGTGTTGTTGGTGTTGTGTTACAAAATCTGTCATTTTTAGAAATTTAAGGTTTTAAAAATTGAAATAGTTAAATGGCCGAAATTTAAAAACAAAGATATTTTTAATGACCTTTTTTTCAAGCACATTTTGGCTCTTTAATTATATTAAATATAGATAATACGAGACACCCTGATAAATTATTTATTCTTATATATTAAACATTGTAATGTGTAGAGTATTAATAGTAAAAAAGTACCGTACCTATTTAAAAATAACAGTTAATTGTTTAATAATAATAATACGTAACACAAGTACTTTCAGTTTCATCCAATAGTCAATGGTTTCAGTGACTATTTTTGTCAGATTAGATTATATTGTGGAATACAAGATTTATTAAGGGTACAAAAAAAACTCTTTTTACTTAATCAAACGGATTAAATTCTCGAACGAGTGGTCCAATACAATGTCCTGGCGGGGATTGTAAAATACCACTTTTATTTGTAAAGAAGTAAAAGTAATAATGCAAAAATAAGTTTGTAGAACACAAGCTGGGACTCACCTGTGCTGTTGTTGAAATTTCCAAAGTTTTGTGTAGATATCAAATGTCCGACCAAAGTAGGCTTGCCACTGCTTATGACCATACTGCGGCAAGTCTCTGCAATATGTAAATATAATCAGAACCAATCTAGATACAAACTGAAACCCAAATAATTCTCCTATAATAAAGTGTCAGCATGGATTAAACGAAATTTAAAGCTAATATGGTTGTAGCCAGATTTAAAACGGAAATGAACGTTACATGGAGTCCCCAGTAGAATGTATGGCAGTGCCTTTGACTATAATTCAACCTCTGTATCTAATAGTCAATGGCTGTACATTACTAATGTCTATCGGATAGGCATACGCAATATTTTTAAACTGAAAGAAAAACTTGCTGCAATTAACGATAACATCGCCTGTGCCACATTTACTAATAGAATATCAACATGTAAGAGATAAAAATACATCATTGTGAGAACAGCACACTCGATGACTCGATGAATGGCTCATAAAACTATGTTGTATTTTAATGAAAGTTTGGCACCTGCAGGTTCATATGGTATGGTATGTCTACTTCAGTAAACAAAATCAACGGTTTTCGTACACTGGCCGCATTGTTAACTATAGTGCAAGCAATTTGAGCAGTTGTATTGAAAGTTATATTTGTTTGTAGGTTGAACAAAATATGTAGATAAGTTTCTTAACACAAGACAAAACAGTCCAAACTACTAATTTTGTCAAACTAGTGTACCTGTTGCTCGAAATCGAGCAATTGTCAAGTACCGGTATTATACAAAAGTTAATACATTTCTTGCATGTATTTATTCGATCTGACTTTAGGTAGGTTTACTTTACCACTGTAACAACATGATGTGTATATTCGTCATGTTTTTTTTTTTACTTCCAAAATAAGTTGCTTAGCATAACTGGCAAAAATGATTCATCTTCCTAAGTTATTATGTGTACCTGGATTCCTTACTGTGAGATCAGGCCTCTCCTCTACTCTTTCCATCGTATACGATTTCCTAATAATTGTCTCCTCCTCCTGTTTTAAATATTTCTCCTTTAAACTAAATAAATTTTCTATTCTTCCAACGAAACTGATTAATTGTTAAGATTTGTCTGTAACCTCCTAAATATTACAAACATCAATATTTACTCCAAAAAAGCTGGCGAGCTTCTTTTTATATACAGCTGTTTTTGTTTTTAAGTTTGTTTTCAATGTAATTCTTATGGAGGAAAATGTGACCTTTGAGAGCGTCTCGTGCCCTTAAAGGTAAGAGTTTTTAAATTCTAAAACCTTTATGCAAAACTACGCATTGAGACGAATTATTTGACACCTCAAACGTTAAAATCGGTCCAGAAATAACGGGGAAGTTTTGTTCACAAAAAACTGCCCTCACGTATTAATAGAATAGATTGTAAATAAATACTTGTTAAAAAAAAAACAAAAAAAAAAGGAATTAATATAAGAGATTATGACAACTAGCAGCCAGCACCTCTTCTTGACTTCAAAATCCGTGATATATTTGAATTACTCGTAATTTACAATTGTATATTTCTTTGAATTAAATTCAAAATTATCTGTTTTTTACTCGATAATCATTAACTTATCACTCACTTGACGTTGTGTATTGTTTTTTTTACAATCGTGATGGTAAATGTCCGCAATAAACACTTGAACAACATTAACTCACCATCACCAACAATGAACTTCAAACAAAGAACTTATCACTGACTTGCAATTTGTTTAAGCAAACCCCAAACATAACTTTGTAATTAATTTTCTCAATACAATATGAAATCATGCATAAAATACCCCCAACGCAGCAAACCTGCCGTCTAAGCGAATTTCCATTTGCCTAAATTGATTTTCAATTAAATCTATTATTGAATTTGCCGTTGGGAATAAATAAATAAATTTCACTGGCATGAAAGTAAACATTATTTAACAATAGTTAAGTGTAACTGTAAAACCCATAATATCGGTTAACTATAGTAATTGCACCAATATTTTAGTACACTAAGTTAGAAAATTAAAACACTTTTCGTGTAAAAATAACCTCTCAAAACGGCTTCCAACTTTTAAATTCGACATATACGTATATCTTAAGCACGTGTCAATAAGATTAACTTATGTTTTTTATGATGAAATACACAAGTAATTCTAGCTCCTCGCGATCGTTTCCCCGACCCTTGCAGTGATTTACCTATGACAGTTGTAAACTGGGAGACACGATGTTTACTGTTTCGACGCCAGATGCGAGGGGCTTAAAGTATTTATGTCAGGCTTTGGTGTAAAATATACCTCATTATCCCTCTACTTTTCATAACAAAATACCCCCAATCAACCAGTTTAGCAGTCCATTTAATTTTACAATTGTATACAATACAAGCTGCTATACCCGTGCTTTGCAACGGGAAGAAAATGTGACCTAGAGAGTTATTAAAGTAATTCTGATGTCTGTTTTAAAACACAACTCTATGATTTAGTTTGAAAATATAAACTGATTTTTAAGTGTAAACCTTCTTACTTTCAAACCCCTACTTTTGATGTTAATAGATCCAAAAGAATATGACAACATACCTTTTAGTGTAGCAATAGCATCAATTGCTTCATATTGATGCTTCACGAATGACATGTTTTACCATAATTCTTCAACTTTAGTCAAGCCTCTTTACATATAGCTTACTATATAAATTATAATTGAAACTTTGAGCAATTCCTTACAAAACGTATACAAACTTTCTTTAAAACCAAACATAACCCTCCTAAATCTACATAAACATCACAATAGTTATTTGTGTAACTAGTGGTGAAAGTGGCACTTTGCTGCACACGAGAGCAATGTTTACGCACGAGCCGCAGGCGAGTGCGGAATGATCTCGAGTGCAGCAAAGGCCTTTTTCACTCGTGTTACACATTATATTTTTCCTACAGTCACTATAAAACATAAATAATTAGTCTTTCAAACACTATACAACACGTTTTTAGGTTCAGCTAGCATTACACAAATGGTGCCCTGGAGAAAGTAGTACCCGTGGTCCGTATCACTCCGCTATTTTTCCTCGGCAAGAAATGTGCTCCGTCTTTTGAGAATATAGTTCCGTATGTTTTTGTAATTTGAAGTGGTTTCCGCGCCTAAAAAAAATGCTTTAAAGGTATTTTCTTGTTTATTAAGACCGTAGGAATGTTTTAAAAACGTTTAAAAGAAAAGTCCAGAAAGTTCAGAAATACCAAAACTATAAACACGAAATGACAGGTTAAATCGTAGTTATAATAGTCAATCAGCTGTTCATAGTATTATTATCTTTAAGTGTTGCCAACCTATTTCCAAGCGTACACGGATTACGTGCATAATAAAACCACGCTGTTTTGTGTTGTTTGGTTGGAATCCTGATGTGCGGCAAAGTATAAACCGTGCGGCAAAGTATAAACCGTACGGCAAAGTATAAATATGCAGCAATTAGCAGCTTTCTGTACTATAAACAGTACAGGGAAGCCAACTTTGTCGGGTGACTGTAGGAAAACATATTTTTCGAGTAAATAAACAAACACCAGTTCATTGTACTGACCAGCTGTTTCAACTAAATTAAATTAAATCATGTAAACTTAGGAAGCATGCCAGGCGTAGCCCTTTGGAAAACAGCCTGTGGGGCAGAGCCCTTAGGACATTCGTCCATATCAATACTTTTCGGCAAATCTACACACTCTAAGCTTCATTTTCATGTGCCATAAGTCTATATTTTTATTTGGTAAATTGCCTTCACCGTTTACATAAAATTTGATTAAATCGCTTTAATAATATAATAGATTCCTCCACAAATACAAATGAATTAGGATAAATATAATACTCGTATATTTCTTATTGTGGGCTATTTCCTTCGTAAATAAGCATGGAAAGTTAACAAAGAGGAAAATGTACCACTAATATCATCGATTTGGAACTATACTCTTAACTCTTACTTGAGCCACTCAAAGAATGTTTTGACACCGGTGCCGGTTTTCATTAAAACCCTAAGTTGATGTGTCATGGTAGGGTGTCAAATTGATGTGTCAAAGTGGCACTTTTTAAGGGGAGCATGTAACTGCCATGTCTTCAATGTTATTTAAATGGGGAGACATGACACTAGTAAGGTACTATTATCTTTTCCTACAGTCACCCGACAAAGTTGGCTTCCTTGTACTGTTTATAGTACAGAAAGCTGCTAATTGCTGCATATTTATACTTTGCCGTACGGTTTATACTTTGCCGTACGGTTTATACTTTGCCGCACATCAGGATTCCAACGAAACAACACAAAACAGCGTGGTTCCATTATGCACGTAATCCGTGTACGCTTGGAAATAGGTTGGTAACACTTAAAGATAATTATACTATGAGCAGCTGATTGACTATTATAACTACGATTTAACCTGTCATTTCGTGTTTATAGTTTCGGTATTTCTGAACTTTCTGGACTTTTCTTTTAAACGTTTTTAAAACCTTCCTATACGATCTTAATAAACAAGAAAATACCTTTTAAGCATTTTTTTTAGGCGCGGAAACCACTTCAAATTACAAAAACATACGGAACTATATTCTCAAAACGCGGAGCACATTTCTTGCCGAGGAAAAATAGCGGAGTGATATGAACCGCGGGTACTACTTTCTCTAGGGCACCATTTCCATTTGTGTTGCCAGCTGAACCTAAAAACGTGTTGCATAGTGTTTGAAATACTAATTATTTATGCTTTATAGTGACTGTAGGAAAAATATAATGTGTAACACGAGTGAAAAAGGCCTTTGCTGCACTCGAGATCATTCCACACTCGCCTGCGGCTCGTGCGTAAACATTGCTCTCGTGTGCAGCAAAGTGCCACTTTCACCACTAGTTACACAAATAACTATTTCATATAGACTTACAAAACTTAAATTCCTAATATAGTGAGTACTGCTACTATCCGCAGTACTATCCTGAAACTTAGACCAATACGTAGCCTATACAAAAAATTTTGTAGTAGCATCGATGTAGTCATAAATAATTCTGTTTTTCTATTGGTTCGGAGTGGGCAAAGTACAATGTTGAGAAATCAGCTGTTTTGCAAACTAATTCGAGTGAACAAAATGCAAA